TTGGTACCTGGTCTGGGCTTTGTGGTCATCCTCTTACTAGCACTGTCTTGAGTTTAGTAGAAAATGGATCATAACATCTAGGCTACTGAGAAATAGTGTTTGTTATGAAGACACTGTTACTATGCAGGCAGGAATTGCTGCAGGCAAGTCAGATCAAGACCTTGTCACGGTAAAGCGATGAAGCTTTTCTGACACGATAAAGTTTTAGCAATTTTGCCTGCCTCTGACTGACTGAGACTTCACCTAGGCTATTTTTTGTGATGTTTCTGGAACAGAAACTTTCTGTTCTTCAAACAAGAGCACCAGATGGAAAAGTACTGTAGGTAATAGGTGTAATGACATCACGTAATCCCTGCTGCAGTTAAATCTACATAAAGTGTTTCCTTTAGTGTTACTGGTTCCTCATTGGGGGGAGGGGGCTATTTCAAAAACATGCTGCTTTACCTGCTAGGATATTCCTTTGGATCTCTAGGCTAGGCTACTTGTGTCCAGCTAATGTTCGTGCGCTTTTGTACGAATGCTGTTATTCAGTTTGAGTAACAGTCCCCTTCTCCTCCTCCACCCCCCAGCCATGAGCGCATACCCGTGAGGTAAAGCAGTCCTATTCCCTTGCTTGCATGTGGCCAGACTAAGCAAGTTAGGCACATCCAGCCCTCTCTGGGAGCGATAGTTCTTCGTCCCCTCAATCATCCTAATAGCTCTTCCCTGTTCCTGTCCATACTTCCATCTTTCTTTTGAACTGTAAACAGTCTTTCAGATGAGGCTTCAGGAGTGTACTGTGCAACAGCATTAACTTTTCTTTGTCCTTTTGGCAAATGCTTCCCTTACATATCCTGGAACCACACTGGTGTGTCTCAGAACAATAGTACCCAGTCAATGCACCCCAATTTTCTCCTCTTCATCCAGTGCTGTCATCTACTCTTTAACAGTTTGAAATTCATCACTGGGAAATTCTTGTCTTAATTCTTGTCTGTACCTCAGCTAATAACTTGTCATGCAATATTGTATTAAATACTTTAACTGAAGCCTAGACAAACTGAATCTACCGCACATTGTATACAAAAGTCAAGCATCAAAGAAAGCTGTGAAGTTAGTCTGCAGTGAACTGTTTCTGCTAAGATCATGCTGTATTTCAATTATATTTGCATCTTGAGTTATTCTTTCTGTCAAAGCATGTAGTAGAAAGGGTTTTGGTTTTTTTTAACGTTATCGAGGTCAGACCAACAGGTCTTCAATTCATCTACGTTGCATTTTTTCCCCATGTCTCAAATATGGACACTGCTCGCTATTTTTCAGTCCTGTGGTATCTGCCCCACTTAGATATATTTACAGCACTCTCTGGGCAGTGGAAACATGCAGTGGGGCACAAAGAGCGACAGGTTACAGCACGCCAGAGGGTGAGCTGGTCTGGTGCATGGCTCATGGCTGGCACTCAGATCAGCTTGTAGGCTTAAGATGCTATAGGCTCAGGCAAAAGGGTTTCCAGCAGGTCTGGGCTCAACTTTTATGTTCATTCTCCTCCTTGTTCATCCCTCATGCTGCACTTATAGCCAGTACTTGAGTTTCTTTCCTAGCCTAAAGGAAGAAAAGACAAAATTCCCCAAACTCCTGCTACGATCCTCCACACTCTCTTGTCAATCTCTGTCAGGATCTATACTTTCAACCAAGATAAAATCTAGCCTTAAATTAAATTTCTGATTCTTTATCAAGAAATTCTTTATGGACCAGTGCTAGGGGAACCTCAATAATCAGTCAGCAACGTGGAGTCTGACTGAGAGGCAAGGTGACCATAGTAACGGAGGCCAGCTCCCACCAGCATGGCCAAAGCTGCCCCCATGCTTGATGTGAGAATCGGAGGGAAAGTCAGTAGAAAAGCATAGTGCATCAGAACACTTTTGTGTGCAAGATTCAAAAGCCAAAAAGATAATGCTGGGTTTTCTTCAAAGGACTACTCAGTAAACTACCAGGCCACTGGGAATTGATGGCAGGTAAGAATGCTGTTTGGATCTATGGAATTTTTCTTTTCCACATTACTAGTTCAACTGCAAATCAAGTTTGTCAAGGCTTAAAACCCATTCCTGCCTGCAGGCATTCAGTGTGCTTTGGGGTATGAGTCGGGCACGCTGCAAAAACTACCAACACAATTGGCAACTACCAGAGCTGTAGCAGCCAAGGTGTGAACAGACTGAACATGGAGCGGATCAACAGTCCAAGTCTTGTCCTGTAGAAGAATTCTCCAATTAGTCCTTTTATTATTACTGATATACAAGCCACCTAAACGTGGAAGCTTGTTTCACCACCTTGTTGTATTTCCACTTGAGGAGGTACCTTGTATGCAAGTTTTCTTTGTTGTCCTAGATACATGGACTTTTATTTTTCAGCTTAGTGATGTATTTGTTAGAGTTTAGGGATGTTCTCTTTAAACTACTGGCACGTCCTTTGCCATTTTTCCCTTCTCTCTGCTCAGGACTGTATTTACCCCCACGAGTTAAAGCATCCAGCAATGAAGGTGCATTCCCTTTGGATGTAGCAAGCAAATCCAAATAAACCACTGCCTACTCTTCCATACATCATCCCAGATCACCAAGCTTCTACCTGGAAGCTTTGACAATGCCACTTTTGTATTTGCGTGTGTTTGAAACAAGGAGGACTCTGTATTTATCTGATGCGTGTTCAGATCTGGAGTAGATCTGTAAATGCCAGAAGACTTAGATTCAACAAATAGAAGTGCACAAGACCTTTGGTGGTGCACGTGAATACGACACCATGGATATCAAGGGAACAGTGCTGATTTACACCACTTGAAAAAGTCTGTGGCATTGTTTGAACTTCACCTCCAATCTCAGTATCTCTGATCTTTGCTGAAGCATTAGGGAAAAGGGGTAAATTCGTTTTTTAAAGATTTTTTTGCCTGTTCTCTACAGAGAGAAGAATGCAGTGCCAAGCAGAAAGCTAATGGAGGCGATAACGGTGCCTAGAAATGAGCCAGCAATCCTCCTGTTCCCAGTCAGTATTTTCTGAATAGTGTAAGTTTTGGAAAAACCCAGTATGTGCCTTCAGCTTATTGAAACAAATAAGAGACCTGCAACACAAGATGAAGTTAATGACAGTTTCGATTCACTGCTATGTGTTATGCCAGCCCTGTTGCTGGTTCCTCTGGCTCTGCGGTGATTCACCACTGTCCTGTAAAACAGGCAACACTGGCACGTTGTTAGTCACCTGGCACTAACATGGAGAACACTCACTCTGGGGAAGCAGAAGATTTACTGCTAAACAGAAACTAGGTCTTCCTTTTCCTGGAACCCGGGAAAACCACATTCAGGCTGCAACATGTAAAGCTACGATTGGCTTTTTGTCCTTCCTGAAGGACACCAGGCCAAAATAAAAAGCAAAAACATGCAAAAGGTTTCATGTGTTTATGGTTAACAAATGGCAGCCATCATCTTCTATTCATTTTTCTCTTAGCCACTTGTAAACTGTGAAGTGCTATGTTTTTTTTCCATCTGCTTTTGTTGTGTCCCTGAATCTACACCTAGTTCTTTAACAGTTAACACCATTGCTGCTCCACATCCTCTTTCACACCTATTTGAGCATTCCTGTGGTTTAGTTTGGCAGGCTGTTCTCCTTGCCTTATGGACACAAGCACTAACAGACACTAAATGCTCTCCTGGGGCCCCTTAGTATCCACCTGCTCTGTTTCTGCACATGCTCCTCTCTTTAGCACCTACATGCTTTACTTGCATGGTCCCATCTGCTGCAAGGTACCTCCTTCGCTCACCCTCTTCACCACTGTTGTCCCCACACCCTTTGATTTATTTAACCAAAGTAAAATGAAAGTATAGTCTGTAACAAGAAATGGATGAATGAAAGCTCAAAACCAAAAAAAAAAAAAAATCTTGAACTCTTGCTGTATATGCCACAACTTCTATAATAGTCTTTCCCCAGGCTGTGCTCCTAATGATAGAGCAACATCCAAATCAGGGACTTGACTTCAAAAGCAGTTTCTAACCTCACACCTAATTGATCTGGGTGTAACAGCAGTGAAGGGACCAGAGACCTCTATTGTTAAACTGGTTTGGGATCTGAATCAAGCCCCCTAAGGGTTTTTTTGCCTTAGGCATTGGCTCTTGACTGCAAATCTGACCTAGCTATATTGCAGAGTCTCTTGGCAATGTAAGATGTACAGTTAAGAAAGCTCTGCAATGAAAAGGAGCTATTTTTCTCTCTCAGTCATTGAGCACATGGTTGTTTCCCAGTAGTGTATGTTTTTTCTTTATCCTATGTTCCTTAGCTTGTCCCATCAGATGTCTATTGCTTCATTTGCGAGAGTGATGCATAATCCACTCAGATCAAACTCACATCCAGTGGAAAGAGGCTAGATTTTTTTTACTGGTGTCACTAAGACCAGAACCTAACAAAAGCTTCTTCAGCTTTCTTTTAGATGCTGATTTGTCTGTCACTGTTTGTGCCCTTGCTTGATGAACATAGTGCAGTTACAGTCAAATGTTTTAATGCTTTTATTAACTACATTTTCGGTTTTTGCTCAAATGTCCTTGATCTTAGCAGGAAAAAATCCCAGAGAGAAATAGGAAAAATATAGACTTGCTGCAATGGGGCACAGAGGAGGTAGTGAATTGCCAGATGAACCTGGCTCTATTGGATTGAAAGGTCACATTATTTTAGCCTTGACAAACTGCATGATTACGGCAGAAGTTATGTATCTTAGGAGCCAGGATCTGCTAAATGAAAAAAAGTGAGATTAGAAATTTTGTCTTGTCTTGCCAGAGCCTTGAAACAGAGATAGCTGCTAAGAAGATCACTTTCTTGTCTGTCACTAGGGCCTCTGAGTACTGCAGCTGTACAAACAGATGATGGATTCACATTCTGGCTATGGGAAGAGACAAGCGGGGAAGGAATAAGAGCACCACAGAGGAAGAAGCTGCAAGCCTATAACAGCATGTGCGTGTGGTGTGAAGGGCTGGGAGGACTCAGTCGACCTCATGCCCATGAGCCTGAGGAAGACAGAGAAGGTGATTGAAAAAAGCAGAAGCGGAGAGAGTGGGAGAAGAAGATTAAGGAGCTTACTGTGGGCTCTGTTAAGACTCAGCTGGTGATAGATCATCCAAGGTGACAACCCGAGAGTAAATCACAGAGTAGGAGAGAAGGGCATCCTGTATGCAGCATCGTAGGACAGACATGATGGCCATGCAGACTGTTGATGTCACCCATGATGAATGAGCCAAGGTACTGGGAACACCCACCATAGTACATACAGATATTTGTAGAAACACTTGGGTGATAAGCTGAGAAAGGGAACGGATTGAGGAAGAAAGCAAGCCATGAAAGGCCAGGGAGAGCAAGGGATCAGGTGGGAGAGACTGAAGGCTGGGGAAGCTCAAAGAGGACAAGGGCAGAATAAAGGCCTAGATCTGACAACAAGGATATAACTAGAAACCCTTGCTAAGGGGAATGGGAAGGCGGGTGCTGGTTGCATGGGATCCAACAGCAAACTCAAGAAAACTAGCCTGTTCAGAGGGATTAGATGCAAAGGAAAAGAACAGCAGTGGGAAATATTTCTATAAAAACGGGTCGGTGGTTTTGCTTCTCATTCTTTCCCCCCCAAAACAGCCAATAGCCAGCTAATTTTCACCTACCTCTTTACCTGGGCACCTTAGCCATCACAGCCTGGTTAAAGCTGACTTACAGCTGGGTGTCCAGGATACAGTCCAAACAGAGAGCTCAAACAGTTAGGTTTGAGACAGTTCTCAGACCTATCTACACAACAAACGTTATATACTACGAGCCCACCCTCCAGCTTGAATATAGCACAAGGAAAAAAGCATTCAATTTGCTTGATGCAGCACCATTTCCTTACATTCATGTGGATTTTATTACTCTCTTAGTCTCACTTATGCACCTTATTACTCAGCTCTGCTGACATCAGGAGCTTTTGCATCACTCAGTTTAATATTAACTGCTTGGTGTTCTAATATGGCCAGTTAACAACCTCAGATGAAGTCAGACTAACTGTGGGATGCGGAATCCTGAGGACTTGTCAGTTAATTCAACCTGAATTTCTCTTGTTTTCCCATTGCCCCAGCATGGTGGTCCTCTGCACAGACACATTTGCAAGGAGGGCAGCAAAGAGGGCTGGCTACAGTGTCAGTCTCTCTGAATGGAAAGCTTTCCTGCAGAACCAATCTGTTCCTTGGCCTCTGACCTGCTTACTTGAGTAGGTAGCCTCCACTGCAAAAATCCCTGCTGGTTTCTGCAGTCCAGTGAGTGTGCATGTGCATGGAGAATGAGGAAACATACATGAAAATTCCCACTTCCACCATCCAATGTCTAGTTCTTCCTCATATGTATTTTAAGTTCCTTCTGCAGACAATCTACTTTGTCAACCCTAGGACCGCTACTAAGACTGTACAAGGAGAAAGGAGAAACTCCCATCAAGTGATAAGCAGTGCCTACATAAATATCTTCACTAGAAATTAATAGCTGATCATCACTGTAAGGATCTGGTAGCTGATGATCCCCTGTGATCACAGAATCACAGAACGGTTGAGGTTGGAAGGGACCTCTGGAGATCATCTAGTCCAATCCCCCTGCTCAAGCAGGATCCTCTAGAGCCTGTTGCCCAGGACTGTATCCAAATGGCTTCTGAAGATCTCCAGGGAAGGAGACTCCACAACCTCTCTGGGCAACCTATCCCAGTGCTCTGTCACCCTCACAGTAAAGAAGTTTTTCTTTCTGTTCAGTGTTTCAGTTTGTGCCCGTTGCCTCTCGTTCTGTTGCTGGGCACCACTGAGAAGAGTCTGGCCCCATCCTCTTGACACCTCCCCCCCCCGATACTGATGCACATTGGTCAGATCCCCCCTCAGTCTTCTCTTGTCCAGGCTGAACAGTCCCAGCTCTCTCCCTCTTTCCTCATAGGAGAGATGCTCCAGTCCCCTCATCATCTTTGTTCCAATCACCAGATTGGAATCTCACTAACGCCACCTTGTTTCCACCCAAAGTCTGGTTTACGGAGACATCACAGAAAAGGCTGATTTCTTTAACTTCCTTCGGAATTAGCATCCTTCTGAATTCTGCCAAGTGGTATTTCCGACCTTTTTACAGGGGGCAAAAAATTTGACTGCAGGACAAGAACCTGATCAAAGAGAAATCCCACTCCGGTCCGCACAGCTGCTGATTGTGAGAATGCGCAATGTCTCCTCCAAGACCTGCCATGCTTTGGGCTGGGTCAGCACCCAGGACTGCTATGGAGCCAGAAGCATTTTGGCTACGCCCCAGCCAGACACCAGGGAGTCCACCCTGGCTTGAGATACATGGGAGAGGTTTGGCATGGTGGCATGGAAATATTGGTACGACCTGCTCAACACACGCAACACGGCCCTTCACCTCAGCCAGATTAGGTACGTCCTGCAGTCTTCAGAAATACAACGGAAAAGCATCGCTACAAACATTTGGGCAGCTCATTGTAAAATGAGGTTTTCCCTTCCCCAGACTGCGAGAGCAACTTCATTTCTTAACGAGACCGAAGGGGTGACTGTTCAGGGACCACCTGGCAGAAAGCTGCGTTTGGGCCCAGCTCTGCCCAAGGCAGCAGGGCGACCTCCGGCCGGGGCAGCCAGGAACCAGGACCTCGCCTGGGCTCCACAAGCTCCGCGGCCTTGAAGCCCCGCGGCTCCTCCTCGACCGTGAGGTGAGGTG